TTCATGAATTGCAGATTTAATTTTATGTTATGAGTGTTGGGATTTAATTTTCGTGTATTCGATGAAGGAACAATAGACAGACAATACGATCGTTGTTTAGTTACAAGTATAAGCAAATACCCAAAAAAGTAATTCAAAAAGATTCATCCAAAAAAAGCAATGAAATCACGAGTTAAGGCTTTTATTAAGCTCGTTAATTGCAATCACATTATGCCGACTCGTTATACACTTGATGTAGATCTGAAGGATGTTGTTAGTGTCGATGTTCTTCAGTTTCGTGATAAGAAGGTTATTGCTGCTAAGAAAGCTAAAGTTCGGCTTGAGGAAAGGTTTAAGACTGGGAAATATCGTTGGTTTTTTACTAAGCTTAGGTTCTAATCTCTTGATTTTTAAAATGAAGAATATCCAGATTTGCTTTTTAAAAAAAGTATTGTTACTCCTATTGAAATTTTTATTTTACCTCTGAAAAGATTTAAACTAAATGCATTTATATCGTAAAAATTTTTAATAGTGTATTCACAAATATATTTCTTCCATATAACTAATCTATAGAAATATGAGTATGTGTCTATAAGAAAAAAGAAATAGCAGGGAACATGATTATGATACATGTTAAGAACTCAGGAAAATTCACTAACAAACAGTCTTTTTAGTTGCAAGCGATATTTTGGATGATCTTGTGTCGTAAACTATACTGTTTACTGGATATAAGTACTTACTTCGATCTCGGGGCGGGCCAGAAGGAACCATGTATACATATTTTAGGAACTACATCTTAATTACAAGTTAATTTATAATCTTTCTTTTATCTTAGTGCCAACTGATTGTACATTGCAATGCATTAACTGGAAAAAAAGGAGCCTAATCTCCTAGTGCGACCTTAGAGTTCAACACACAGTTACGTGCATTTGATCGTAATAAGTATTGTGTATCTTAGTATTTTTCTTATCCTTTATCTTTTTTTAATCTAATTTTTATCTACTCTCCAAGGTTATGGCACCTAGTAAGCAATGGATGCAACTTGTTGATAATCGGCTCGATGAAGCCTACTCAATGGTGCTGCAAACCTTGTGTGTTAGTAGTTGGAGTAAAATCAACATATGACAACAGAAATGTCCTTTTCTAGAAAAGTTAGAACCTCCAAACTGGTAAGTCAATCCTTCTAATTTAAAATTCAAAAAGATGTGTTTTAGCAAAGTTACTTAGTGAGGGGTGTCCATACTTCTTACTTATACGAAAGCTAGGGAGTCTCAGAAAGGACATTACTGCTAGCAACAGAAAGAGGTATTTGGCAAGGTTGATGCAAAAATAAGCAAAACACTGGATGAACTGTTAGTAGTAGAGCAGATGTCTGTCTTACACAAGCCGAAAAAGATAAACGTCTGAATCTGAAATTGAACTGCCAAGGAAATTAGTATTAAAAACAGAGTTGCCTACAAAAGTAGATTGTTTCATCTGGGCTGCACTTTTTCTGAAGCTTGTTTGACTTAGAACCTTTGCAAAAGGAATATGCAACCAATAAACAGATACTACAGTATCTCTATGCTTGGTATTTCTCTTGTTCAATGAAATACTTTCTTACAATATGTATGAAGGTTTTGTATATTTTTTATACTATCACTATTATTCAAGTCCATCTGAATGTGTAGTCCCAAAGATATTATTTTGTTATTTATGTTATATTCATCCTGTTCCAGAAGATTTGCCATTTATGTTATGAAAGATCCCAAATAATATGTATTTTGAAGATTTTATCAAATGGAGTTTTTCATTGTCTTGCTCTCTAGCTGTACTTTCATGCAACGATAACTAACAGTATGGAGCAACTTATCAAATTTTGTACTTGCATATTAGTTTGAACGGTGCATTATTTTTCCACATCAGAAAATTTCTATGATTACCATGATCATATTTGAATAGTGTATTATTTATCTTGTAATGCATTAACTCAATGAATATTTTGATTATTGTAGAATAAATTTGAGAGTGTTGACATGATTGATCATCGTGATCATATATTGGGATGGATGAAAGCGTTATGGAACAAATGAAGAGGACACATGCATGCCAAATATGTGAAGGATAAGCCAATCCATCAGGATCTTAAGAATCTTTCAAAGGGAGTAGACAAGAAAGAATGTGACTGGTTAGTAAAGGAATATTTTTCTTCAGAAAGTTTTCAGGTATGCCCGGTGATTTATTATTCTATTTTACCAAAGCATCTGTAGTTTGATCCCACTCCTTAGCACCATCTTTTTTTCCGCTATACCTAGAATCAAACCTAAGTATACTATTTAAGTTTATTATAATAATTATATTTAAGCTTATTGTTTCACAAAGGCGAGAAGCAACAGGAATGGAGCAAACCGATATAAGTTGAAAATGCTTCTCTGTTGCATTTCTGTCTTATTGCTATCTCTGTTGCATTCATGAATTTATATTCCTTCAAATTAAAAACTATGGACAGACGCACTCAACTGGTACAAATAGAAAGGCTCGTCCAGTGAGTGATACACTAGCGAGTAAACTACGAGTTTTATACTCTTGTTTATCTGTCATGTTTGGTGGAGGAAAATCCCCTTCAAACTCCCCAAATAATGGTTCCTTTTTTGTAGCAGATGCTCTTAGGAACTTAGGAAGAATATTAACTCATATGTAAGTTGATGCAGAATTAATACTATTCTAAAGAAATTTTAAACATTAAAAAGAGAGAAGGACGAAAGAATCTGCATCCTATGGTACTATATGTGCTTAGGCAAAGTAAATTGTACTGTGCTTAAGGATATTTCTGAATTAACTTTGCCATGTTTTATGATTCTGAGACTGATTCTCATTTGTAGTAGTATTAACTTTGCTGTTCCTTTCATATCCTTCCAGTAACTCGAGGCTGGCTGAGAGGAGATTTGTTCTGGTTCCACTATCTTAAGAGGCAAAACTGGAGTTATTTAGAATTTTTTCCACCATAAGATATCTAGAGAAAAACTAAAACACATCATGCCTCAGAATTCTTTCCTACAAGTGTCTATAGCAGTAATGTAATCAAGCAAATATTTTTGAAGTGCAATTACTTTGTCTGCCTTTTTTGCTTCTGCCATTGGTTTAAGGTCCTTGAGTAGGTTCATGTACAAATAGTTAGTTGTTTCTTGTTTCAAGTTTCATGTGTGACTTGTTACTCGAAGAGCCTAAATTGCCAATTCTAGCAAATTTCGATGAAGAATGCAGACTTTGACTTTGGAAAAGGCAAAAGTACATACATAGCAAAATAATAAGGAAGAAGGAGAAAAATATTCAGTTAGTTGCACTTGCCGCGACACATGATATGTTCTGGTGAAAGCAGCTGGACTTATACAAAATAACAAAATATACCTTCTCCTCTTCTTTTATCGAACCGAAGTTTAATTTACCCGTTCCGATACTTTTCTAATTAATTTTCTTATATTCTTGTAGCCTTGTTGATGTTGTTGGATAACACGTGATGAAGTTAGACTGCTTTTGGGGTAAGCGGTTTAACCATTTCTAGTGTAAATTTAGCGGCGGAAGCTATTGCGACGGTTGGCGACCGGTTTTTTCCCGTCGCAATTGCTCTATTAGGACAAAATTTTGATCTTTAGGGATCAGATTGTCCTTCCTTAAAGGTCGTTTTTCTTGTAGTGCGATGTTTAACTTCTTTCCAAACCATTTAACACCAAGAGTAGTGCTTTCTTAATATAAGAACATTCCCTTTTCTTTCCACCATTAGTGAGGGGCAATAACAGGTCTGTGATGCCCTTAGATTTTCCAGGCAGCAGGCGCGCAAATTACCCAATCCTGACACGGGGAGGTAGTGACAATAAATAACAATACCGGGCTCTATGAATCTGGTAATTGGAATGAATACAATCTAAATCCCTTAACGAGGATCCATTGGAGGGAATGTCTGGTGCCAGCAGCCGCGGTAATTCCAGCTCCAATAGCGTATATTTAAGTTGTTGTAGTTAAAAAGCTCGTAGTTGGACTTTGGGATGGGCCGGCCGGTCCGCCCTAGGTGTGCACCGGTCGTCTCGTCCCTTCTGCCGGCGATGCGCTCCTGGCCTTAATTGGCCGGGTCGTGCCTCCGGCGCTGTTACTTTGAAGAAATTAGAGTGCTCAAAGCAAGCCTACGCTCTGTATACATTAGCATGGGATAACATTATAGGATTTCAGTCCTATTACGTTGGCCTTCGAGATCGGAGTAATGATTAACAGGGACAGTCGGGGGCATTCGTATTTCATAGTCAGAGGTGAAATTCTTGAATTTATGAAAGATGAACAACTGCGAAAGCATTTGCCAAGGATGTTTTCATTAATCAAGAACGAAAGTTGGGAGCTCGAAGATGATCAGATACCGTCCTAATCTCAACCAGAGCATAAGAAAAGTTTCCTTCACATCTCTTTCCTCCATTCCCATTCACCAACCTTTAATCCCAACACTAAGTAGTGAGACAAGCCCACAATGATTTGATGATGCTTGAAAAGCAAAATAGATTTAGCCCAAAAAGCAAGAAAGCAATACTTCCCTGTTTTCATGAAAATTTTCTTTCGAAGAAGTCGGAAGAATTAATTCAAATAGCGGTTCATTTAACTGCTTAAATGAAAAATAATCGATGAATATTATATATATATATATATATATATATATATATATATATATATATATATATATATATATATATATATATTAGTTATAAAAATAAATATGAATTCAACCGGTTAAGAAATAATCCACTACTAAGTTAACCCGAACCTTGAAAAATATCAAAATAATTATTATTTTTAAAAACGTTTTTGCCTTACCAAGCGAATATCCAATAAGCAAGAATAGAAAATACTCCAACAAATAAAAGAAATTGAAACCAGAAGACAAAAAGTTAGGAGTCAGGAGCCAAACACTAGAATTGGACACATGTTTATTCTACATCACTCTTATTTCTGTTCTATAACCAGGTGTCATCATTTAACGTTCCATCCCCCTTCCCAAAACCTTTCCCACCGCCCTAATAAAACCATGCAAAGTGAAAACCCTATTTCAAAGAACAACCCCAAAAAACAAACCTGCAACACTAGAAAACTCTGTTAGAAACCAGAGAGAGATCAGAAAACAAAGCAATAAAAGGAAAATGGCAGGAAATGAAGAATGGAGGAAAATGGCGGATACAACCAAGATGAGTCCTGAGGAAGTGAAAAATGCTGGAGTTGAGGCCTCTAAGAGACCACCAGGCCACAATCCAGGTACCTAGAGTGTTACGAGCGATTTAATTTAACTCTATATATATATATATATGTGTGTGTCACTGGAAGGGGTCGTTTGGTTAGTTATTTCGTGATTAGTTATTTACGAGAATGTTATCCCACCTACTATAGCGATTTGTTGTTTTATTACGATCAAAAGTGGGATCTCATCTTAAATTTAACCGAGATTAATTATTTCTTATGGCTCGTACCAAACGAGCCCGAGCCCGAAGTTTAATTAGGTATGGAACTAAAAGGAGAAACTGTCATTGGCTCTAACAAAAATAATTTTTGAACTTATGGTCCTTAACAAGAACTCAAAATCTTGAATTTATTATGTTTAAATCTTGGATTCGTCGCTGTAGGTACTGTACTACATCAAAGAGGGCGGTTGCCTTATAGCATTACAACAATGGCACTTGTTGGTTTTGCTATCACCGGTGCTATTTGGTACGGCACTATGTATGCAATGAAGAAACCTGAAGCAACTGCCGTTGACGTAGCCAAAGTTGCCACTGGAGTTGGTGGCCCTGAAGATACTCGTCCTCGCAAGTAGCTGATAAAAATAACATTTCGTTTAATTATCTCAACTCTAATTTTACTCCTACAATGTGTGTCACTTTTTGTTTTGAATTTTAGTACTTTCTTTTTTTCATGTTAAATTTGGGGCTTGTATTTTCAGGCATGCTTCCGATGATTACCAGAATAATTGGATTTAACATGAATAATCCAAAGTGATTCACATAGACGTATCCAAGATTTGTGAATGTTATTTGGTCCTGTATTCTAGGAAGCAAACTTCAAGTCAAGCACTAGTAACTGCAACTTGAATTTAAATTTCGTAAATATGTTGTGGACTTTTAAAACTTTTATATTGGATTTTGGTCAAAAGCCATTGAATTTGGTGTCGAATTTGTATCTAAAAAGCTTACCATTGTCCTGGTGATTCTTTGCATAGTGATTAACGAATGTGCGACTAGAAGTGCATGAGTTATGTTAACTTCTCTCCAATCTTCGCATATAGTCTCGGGTGGTCCAAAACGTTTTTGGGTTACCATTGAAGTTATATTCGTATTTTATAATTTTTTTTTTTTTTGTAAAATTACCTACTTTTGAATACATTTTAGAAATTTGCACTTGATCACTTCGCATCTGATGTTATAAATCTAGGGTTCCGAATCGAGTCGGAAGCTCTTTTATATCTCCAAATTTTAGAATCGAGTCGGAAGCTCTTCTATATCTCCAAATTTTAGAACATCGACTTTTAAGTAGTTCTATTTCGTCAATGCAATTTCATAATCGAATTTGACTTTTATTTCTTCAATGCAAATTTAAGAAAATTAAATTTTAAGTAGTTTTATTTTTTTAATGTAATTTTAGAAACTGGATTTTAAGGTTTGAAACATAAACTGTCTGTTCTTATTCAACGCTCAAATTTACTCTATAACTCACACCCTTCTCTAGCATTACTAGTCAATACTTATTAACCATGTGATTTTGTACGTAGTACTAGCTAAGACACGCAATTTAATACATAATGTATCTTCTATAATATACTCTGTCTCAGGCGATATAAATGGTTTTAGCATTCTTTAGAACTTCCGAAATTTCTTATGTGGCGATACAAAGTAGTTTTTGCATTAACTTCCGAAATTTCTTATGCTGTTTAGAACTTATGACTTCCTTTTCGAAATTGAACCGTAATTGCCACAATAAAAAGTAACAATGAGAGTTGATGAATTGCCAACTACTTCAACTATGAACAATAATTATATTGCTGGATTTGGGGATGAGGATCAGTTCTTGAATCAGGGTGGTATCAACTATTGTTCTTCGATTGTTTCTTACCAGTTCAACCACTTGGGAGATGGCCAATTCTGGAGGGATTATTATGATTAGTTAATGTTAACACTGGCACTACAGTCCAGGCCCAATACAAACAATAGCTGCACGACCCATTAGTGCAACCCATCAAGCCCACAAGTCTCTGTAAATAGCCTTTATTATTTTGCTATTGTTACAAAACTTAGCTCAAAGTAATAATATAAAAAAAGAATGTAGGGAGCAAGAGAGAAGAGATTTTTATTTCTTCCATGTATTCAAGTGTGTTACAAAATGAGTTCTCATCCTCTATTTATAGTACAACATAGAGGTATACCAAAAGAATTCCATAAGTATGCCATTAAGCATTTGAGATCATGGAGGAATATCATGGGTAGATTATGAAGGTGAGGGAGTTACAACAATAATGGTGAGAAGTAGTGGGGGTTATCTACATAACGGTGAAGAGTAGTGGGAGTTATATTTGATTAGTGGACATCCATATAATATGTATTTCATAACACTCCCCCTAGGATGTTCATAGATAATGTGCCTCGTTAAAACCTTACTAAGAAAAAACCATGGAGGAAAAAATCTTAGTGAAGGAAAAAGAGTAAACATATCTTGTAATACGCATTACTTGCTGCCTCATTAAAAACTTTTGCCAGGAAAACCCAGTGGGATAAAACCTTAGCTAAGGAAAAAAGAGTACAGCGCGTATTTTCCTCCCCCTGATGAAAATATCGCTTTATTTCTCGAAGATGCCGAATTCCAAGCTTGTATAACAACTTCTCTAATAATGAGATCGGCAGTGCCTTCGTGAATTATTCCGCCAAATTATCACTTGAAGGAATTTCTTGAACATCTATTTCATCATTCAATTGAATATCGTCTCTGCAAAGAAATTTGGCTAAATGTGCTTTATTTTGTCTTCTTCAATATATCGTTCTTTTAATTGAGTTATGCAAGCATCATCGTCTTCAATATTATTGGAATCGTCTCTTCAAAGAAAAGTCACACGTCCTCGCATGGAAATAGATTGTTTGAACAACGAACTATGCCCTGCATTTGTATAACCAATAAAACCTTGACAATATTTGTTAGAATAAACAAATCTATATCAAGGATTCCTTTTGCAATATAATATTAATTATATTTCAATATCTCCATATAGCCTTTATACTTTCAGTAGTTGGGACTATTCGTCCAACTTCATATTTTTCAGATGAAGTCAATTTTCATTGCATATTTTTCATTTGGCCAATCATTTATCTGTCCAAATTCCATGACAGATTTGAGCTCAACATCCTCGTCAATATTATTAATATTGGGCGCTACATTATATAAACAATATCGTCAATGATCATTTTACATCGGTTCCGTCATTACCCACTAAAGACATAACTTATTGAGATCTCTTTATCTCATTATTTTCAGGTACCTGAGCCTCTCCCATGAGGTCTTATAAAGTGTTATGTCATGGTGCTCTTATAAAGCACTTGCCTCCTTATTGTGACCATCTTGAACATTTGCTCCTCTCCTTCTTCAAGGAGTTTTATCTTTGGAACCGATTAGTCTATTACGCGTCATGCGTGTCATAAACTCTGTCCATCATGGACTTTATTCTATTTTGGTGCATTAACAGCTGAAATATGACATTTAGCTTTTGGTCAGCAAATGCTCCTGGCAATATTTTGGAAATGAATTATCACTTGAACTTCAAGTTCACATAAGTTCACATTTTCTTGTACGAGGATCTAGATGTATTCATAATAATTCATTCCACGTATCACTGTTTCAGCTGCCCATTTTCTCCCCCTAATGTTAGGATCACCAACACATTTCTCTACCTTATTTGGGAACCCATCTTTGTGCATTGTGGTGTCACAATTAAATCATATAGCACATCTATATTTCAAGATGAATTATTTGGTTCCTGACCCTGAACCAATTGTGACGGGGAGAATTTATCATAACTGCTAGATGCGTACAAGTGCTGCTCTATATTAAATAATACATCTCATACCAAAGTTCCTTTTGGTAATTTTGTTCTTATAACCAATGGTTTAGCTATAATTGGAGGCATACAATCTCTGCTAAACCAACTTGGATTTAGACCAGCATTATCAAGATAAATTTATATTCTGGACTCTGCTCTAATAATTTGAGCAATCAATCTTGCAAAATCCAAACTGCAAGTTGACAACAAACGCACATATGACCATACAATAGATGCATCTATTAAAATCATATAATAGTAAACGGTCCACATGGCAGGTGATTGGGCCCATATATATATATATATATATATCACCTTTTATTCATTCTAGATCTTAAGGGATTCAATCCCAATATTAACTGGTATATCACGAGAATATGCATCACAAGAGAATTCTTGAAGAATCTTCTATTTCTTCAATATATGCCAATGTGAATTCTCAATTAATTTTTTACATCATAACTGAATCGGGATGGCCAACCCGTTCATGCCAACTAATATTTGTTTCAGTAAACCTCTAGTTTACTTGTGGCATGTGATTCCATCATCATGCTTATACTTGTGTAGTACAAATAAAAGAAAAATCGGGTAACCTTTTATATTTACCCGGTATGATTATAGTAATATGAAGATATTCAATCTTCCTTTCATTTATAGTCTCAATATGCCAACCACTTTGGCTAATATATTTGAAACTCCAAAATTTCGTTTGAGACTTACTACAATATCAATGTCATGAACAATTTCATTTATCCGGGTAGTAACAAATTAGCTCTTCCGGAGCTCTTAATTGATTTTGTACTATAAAATCTTTTGTCACACCATCCATTGGTGAATGTCTCCTTCACGGAGAAAATTATATCATAATAATTGTCATGGTCAAAATCATCATAAGCAAATCATTTCTTGCTTTACTTTTGCCTTTAATAACTTTTTATAAGGCATGTTAAAATTTTTTTGGCGTACCACATGTACGCGACCAATATTGTAATCACACACTAATATTCATTATCTCTCTTTCTCTCAAACCTCCTTTAGAGGTGAGTTGTGGTGTGTATCCAATCATGCATTGCACGTCTTTATTCATTACTTTTATCACATATTGTTACATTCACCTTCAGGAATGAATCTAAATTCTCAATGCACAAGTCACATTCTCTTCAAAGAATGGAGTATAATTATCATGACGTGCTTTATAAATTTTTCATACCAATTTGATGGTAAATATTTCCTTCACCTATTGAAGGATTACTTCGAGAACCCTTATAGTTCTCATTTTTACAATTACCATAATGATGACTATTATTATTTGATCAATAGCACGCTCATGTTCATTGGTCAACCACTTGTCTTCATTTATTTATTATGCATTGCTACCACATTCACTTCAAGAATGGTGCAAATCAAGTGGGACAAGATTCATGCTTTTCCATGAAAAATACATTATTTTTCTTTAGTCATCACTATGTCATCCATATGGTGCATTGGAACTCAAACCCAATGCTTGACCCATATAAAGACATGTTAGGCCATAATGAGTTGGGACTCGAACCCAACTTTTACAATCATGGATCATCAGGACTCAAAACCCGATGTCTTACCCTCATGGTGCGTTGGGACTTGAACCCACCGTCTTATCCTTAATTAATGGCATAATATGCCAAAGTAGACTCACCCTTGAGACTTTCATGGTATACTACTTGTAATAGTAATAAAAGTAAACTCATATATGTGTTACACAATAAGTATCTATTTACTGGTAACAAAGGAATCAAAGTTCTTCAAATCACTTTGCAAAAGCTGGCGTAGCTCCTTAATTTATGTACATCTTTGGTCTCTGGTTTAGTATGTAACATTTAGCTGCATCATTATATGCTTCTGATTCTCATATAACATCTAACCTGAACATTAGGTGAAAGAGATTAGACTAAACTTACAATAAATATTAGAAAGAAAAACATGGAGTAGTAATTAATTTACATCTAAGTATTTTCAACTTTACAAAGTAATACTTAGTATTGGAAAATTTCCCGAAAAATAAAGAACCTTTGAGAAAAACTAACAAGAAAATAAATTAATTAAAAAAAAATTA